CCTCCCCCAGCCTTTCGGCCCCCTTGCCTGCTGCACGCTGCCCAAAGAATAGCCGCCTCGCCAGCCAAGAGCTCCGGCCAACCCAACTCATGAGCAACCGCCGCCTCCCTTCCCTCTCTCGGGCCACGGACGACCCCCCCACCCGTCGCTGCCCTCACCTCCTCCGGCCGTCCCTACCAGTGCTTCGGCCAAGCAAAGAACTACCGTGCACCACGTTTTTGCAGATCGTGGAGCGCCCCCTCGCGCCCTTGCCTCTACAAAAGGAAGCCGAGGCCGTCCCCGCATCCGCTGCTGCTTTTCCCCGCTCCCTCTCGCGTTGCCGTGCCCGTGAGAACCGCCGCCCCGAGGTCTCCGAGCTCCGCCGTCCGCCTCTGCGCGAACCTCCGTCACCGAGCCGCCTCCGCTCCGGTTTTCACCGCGGTGAGCATCGCCGTACTCTCCCCTCTCCTCCCATGCTTTTCATTTCTCGTTTCTTGGCTTCTCTAGCCTTGGCCGTGAGCTCCGCGAGCCATGGTCGCCGGCCATGGCGGCCACCGCGCTAGCCGCCGTTCCCAGCCGCCGAAACGGCATGGCTACGACCCCCCTTCCTCCCCCGCGCCCTCCGGTGCACTCGGCTTTCCGTTTGGTGAACCCTAGCCCCCCTAACCGAGCTCACCGGTGAGGCTTCGCCGCCGGCCATGGCGCCTGGCCGTCTGGGGCACTGTTCCGGCCGGCCGTCCCTCCCCAGGCCGATCCTAACCGCCCATCGCGAGATCAACGGCCAGGATTAGAAGTTACCCCTTCGCGGGTAATTTTGCTAAAGAGTCCCTGGACTTTTCTAAGTCCTAACCCGCAGCCCAAAGCGTATTTCCCGAATGCGCAATCCCGTTTGGAAAGCGTAAACTCCACGGCTTAACTCAGTCCACGCCGCCGCCGCCGGTCGCAGTCGCCTCCGAAGCGGACTGCCTAGGGTTCGAGCGAGAGAGAGAGGAGGCGGTGGGGAATGGATGGATTGAGTCGATCCAGTCAAACCGGCGCTGCGAATCTGGGGGCAACACGATCTATACGAATGTACGTAACCCCTGTATACACCTGCATGTGGGCCAACCGTCGCGGCAAGTGTACATAATAGCATTTTTCAGACTCCAGTGTAATTATAATGGCACTCTTATAATAAGCTGAATAGTAATGGTATTTCTAAGAAACGCGAGAATTATAATGGCACCAATCCAATTAACCCAATATTGAAGGTGCTGGTGTTCTCTAATTCAAAAGTCAAAACATTGTACCAAATGTTGCCTTTTCTGTTCAGGAACAAATTAGTGCCATGTTTGGCCATGGTTCATAGTTTAAACGAGAAAAATCTGCCGTAGCCGTTTGACTATTTACATGTCAAGTTGTCAACATGACTTGCCTTTTCTACAACTTTTGATCTGCAGCTGCAGGATATGCAGACAAGACGAAGCACAGCAGAAAGGGAGAAAGATGGTAGCACTTGTGCCAAGGACCAAAACTTCACGGACCGTGTTACCTCGTACCCACCGAGGTTAACCGAATTTTAGATCATTTTTACTCAAAATGTGCTGAATCCAAAAATTGTATTTTTTTACTCTCAAACTGCACAAAACACACCGTTGTTCGCTTGAACTTATCAGCCCAGCTTATCAGCCATGATATAGTATTTTTCTCTCCTAACAAATCAGCATAAGCTGACTTATAAGCCGTAGAAACCATCGGTAGATTGAATTTTCAGATTTTGTTCATATATACACAAATTTTACTAAATTCGCAGAGTGATCATGAGATCCCTATCATTTTCTTGTGAACTATTCAAATGCAAAACTTTTAAATGTTTATGTGTCCTAAAATATCATGAGTTTACTTTCCAGCAGAGAGCTTTAGATCCAAGGCAGGTAGCAGGTTTGTGTAAAGATGATATAAACCAATACCGTAGGGCAATGGAGGCGACGTTTCAGCAGGAGACAACGACTGACTGATGAGTTGATGCAGGCTTCTTTTCCTTCTCGTCCCCAGTTTTTCTGCTGAACATGCTTACTTTGTTAGGCTAAGTAGAATAGATGTTTAAGGTCCTGTTTTTCAAGTTGTAAAATAGTTTTGCTTTTGCTTTGCTTGTATAGTTTTGTTTCTTTTTCTATCGTCTAATAATATTTACGGCAAAGCTTTTACTGTCCTTTCAAAAAAAAAAAAAAATCATGAGTTCCTGGCATGTGTGGGTACTCTTGCGTGCAGTGCTCCCTAGCTATTTTCTCGATCGTGTTCTCTAGTACCAATTGGCCTTTGTCAACAAGACTTGCTTTTCTAGAACTTTAATATTTGTCCCGCGGAAAATGTGGTGGCAGAAGAGGAACCATATAGCATGTTTTTTTCAGCAGGAAGGTAGAAAAGGTGGTGGCAAAAACCAATTATCAAAGGTTTTGCTACCGTACTACGAAATGGTTGTGAACTGTCGACCTGGATGGCTATAATCACATATTACCTCGTAAGAGATTATAGAAGAATTTTTTTTAAAAAAGATAGAAATTAAGCAAAATTTTATGTAAATATCTATAATTTAGATCTCACATGCATGCAAACATGCAACCGTATATGATGGTTCTCAACATGACATGGAACATTTTATTAATAGTTAATTGATCTACGTGGAGTTGTATTTTATCCGGTGGTACCTAAATGTGATCGAGTTGTATTTTTTTTCTAGAATGTGACAAATATAGAGGTGCATTTCAGTTATTTTTTATTTAAACTGGAACGTGAATATGTTGGTAGCGTGAACATTGGTCTTGAACATGTTGGTATTTAAATTATTTATTTATTTTCATAATTTCGACGTTAGTATTTTTTGAACATTTCGCAAGTACTCCCTCCGTCAACAAAAGAATGTAACTCTCGCTTTTTGAGAAGTCAAACAATTTAAACTTTGAGTAAAATTATATAAAAAATTATTAACATTTGTAATACAAAATTAATATCATTAGATTAGTTATAAAATATATTTTTATAATAAATTTATTTGGAGACATAAATGCTAATAGTATTTGCTATAAACTTGGTCAAACTTAAGATAGCTTGATCGGCACGAACCCATAATTACATTCTTTTTTACGGACGGAGGGAGTACATGTTGATAATGGAATCCTACTGTCAGTCATCAGAACATAACTTTTTGACGTCGATTTGTTATAGATTTATACACGTGACATGTGTTTGATACGTGATGTACCACTGCCGTACAGGCCCGGCACAGGTGCTAGGCACCCATTGTAGTATTGTACGGGCGCACCCGGCACCTCATTATCGAATCTCTTATAGTAGATGTCTTATTCGTTGTTTTTTTTTCCTTTTTATGTTTTCTGAACATTCTAATTAGTTAGTAATTACATAACTATTGCATGCACTTCAAAAATTAAGAGCTATGCTTTGTTTGAAATTTTACCTCTGATGAGGTAACCGGAGTACCTTAATTAGCAAGGACCAATTATCCAACTCCGACTCATTTTGCAACCACTAAGATTTTCAGTAACTGGGATTAATTTCCAAATAATTTGTTCGAGATATGCTGAATAGAAATTCATATTCTTTCTGAACTTGCTAGCGTCTGAATGTCTGGACGGATGGGGCATCCGGAGGCCCGTGCTTGTAGTCATTTTTCCATGTCATTTCGGGCGCCCACGTGGGGCCTGTGCCGCCCTGAACGTCACCAGCATCGAGAAGAGAGGGAGGAGGCGGCGGATCCCCAGCCGACGTCAGGAGGAGGAGGAGACATCGAGACGAGGCAGCAAAAGGCAAAGAGGGAGATGAAACATCTGATCTACTTTTAAAATATTCAGATATAACACTTGTAACATATGTCTAAAAGCAGATGAAACATTTGAAACATACATCTGGAACACTTGCAAAAACACCTGAAAACACTTGAAACCATTGCAAAAACATACGCAACATCCAAATAAAACACTTGCAAACATATACAACATCTAAATAAACACACTTGCAACACTTGCAACATACATCTGAAAATAGATGAAACATTGAGAACAAAAGCTTACAACATATGTATACAACCATTGCAACATCCATAAAACACTTGGAACGTACATCTGAAACACTTGAAACAGACGCTTGCAACATGCGCTTTCAAACGCAACATTTACTTGCTGCTTGGACGAAAATGGAGTCTCGTCGACGCGGAGCTCGATGCTACGGAGTGGCACGGAGGTCGCCGGTGTGGAGCTCATCAACGGCACGACCTCAACAGGGGCCACGACAGGCGGATGGACTGCGGCCGCAACGGGAAGCGCGAGTATGGGCAGGGGCGGCGCGGGGGAGGGCGAGATCCGTCCAGCGAGCAGAGTCGCGCGGCGCGAGCGAGGCGGCATGGGGGAGGACGGGATCCGTCCCGCGAGCATGGGCACGCAGCGCGCAGGCGCCGCCGAGCGAGCAGGCGATGCGAACAGGGCGACCCGGGTGGGCTCCGTTCCGCAAGCAGGCGAGGTTCGTCCGAACGGATGGAAGACCGAACAGGTGCGTTACCGTATTCTTTTCTGTGCAGTAATCACAGTAATCAGTGACATTGTCATAATAATAAGCGAATACGATGTTCGTAACCTCACAGAATCGAAGTCGTTAGCCGCATGCATGCCAGATATTTTCCTTATTTTTCCTATTTCTCAAACTAAAATAATGGTCCACGATTATTTAAAGGTACCTCAGCAAAACCCAACATCCAAACTTATAAGGATTTAGAATACGCCAGCAAGCACAGTATCCAGAGAGATTTATTTTGACAGCAAAATGGGCATAAAGAACAAATTAATTTACACATAATTGGACAGAGCAATTGCCATCCCTATAAATGAGAGAACTTTTAGCGCTCTGTGAGCAAGGTGGCTTCTTAATTTGTTGCAGCAGCTCTCCATAAACTTCCATTAGGATAACATATAATTAACCTTTGAGTAGAAGCCATGTGTGAACGATGGCACGACGGAGTATAAGAGAACTGATCAGTGGGCAAAATATGTGACGAACAGCGCCGCAAACATGAGCAAGTACGCGATCGCCTGATCAATGGCCTTCGCATCAACCACCCGCGTCGTCGTCGCCGGTTTGTCCTGTGCCATGGAGAGCTGCATGAGCCCGGAGAAGAAGAAGGCCGTGAACAGCAGCACGTACACCTTCAGGGCCACCATCTTCCCTATACCTATACGCTTGTTTGCGCGGAAAGAATAATTAATTTGCAGGGCGTGCTATGCTAGCTTGGAACGAGAAGTGAATGGCGAATGTGTTGCTAGGTAGGGAATTAGTTTGATGTTTGTAGCAAGGCCGAGGAACGGGCGATATAAATAGGGTAGAACGAGCTACCGAGCTACTTGTGAAGTGCCAGTGTGCTTTGTTTGAAGAGGATACCAAGGAAAACTTTGAAGAGAGAAGAGGAATAGGTCAATCTGTTTGTCCGGGCGTGGCTCGGCAGTATTGACTCGAAGACAGTAGTCGCGTGATGACCAAGTTCAATTGTTAGAGTGAGATGGCTGCTTCTCATATTATTAGCTCCTAGCCTCGTACTTTGCCACTTAGTTTTTCGTACTCCTCTATTCTAAATTATAGGTTGTTCTAGCTTTGCTACATACATAATTTTTTATTACATTTTTAGCATATAGTATATATCTAGGTGTATAGATAAAACTATGCACTTAAAAGAATAATAATGCTCTAGCGTTCGTCCTATATCTAGACGTCTGATGCTATGTGGCCTCCATGGTGTCTATATATTTTACCCACCACACAAATATTCATTCTTTTTCCATCTTGTCTCCCTCCTATGTCTCTCCATTCAAAGCAATAGAAAGAGAAATGATGTCCAGGACATAACACACCTAACTCGTGGCCGCCATACTCCGGGCCTATTCGGCAGGACTGAAAAATAAGTCAAAATACTGTTCCGGCTGATTATTGTAAGGAAAAAATGCTGTTCTGTCTTGCAACACTGTTCGCGTGAACAGTGCCACTGTGAGAGCACTAGCCAGCCCAGCAGCAGCTGGCCAGCCAGCAGATCCATTTGTGCCCCACTCGTCGCCTCAAGTTCACGCAATTGTGGAGACTGAGCCGCTTTCTTTCCCTCTCCCATTTGCTCGCCCTCGCTCCTCTCCCTCTCGCTCTGCTCAAGAGCGCAGGCACCGAGCACCATGACCGCCCGCCCAGCTTCCACGGTCACCGCTAGCTCTCGTGCCTCCGAGCGCCCTCCTCCGTGCAACCTCCGTTCAAACCGACCACCGCGTTGGCTTCCTCACCCCCGCTGAAGCTTGCACGCCTCTTCGCCGGCCTCAAACGCCCCGCTGAGCTCCACGCGCGCTGCCGCTGAGCTCCGCGCCACCGGCATCTACGCGTCGTCGCTGAGCTCTGCGCGCTGCCGCCGGCGAGCTCTACGCTGCCGAGATCCGTGCGTCGTTGTTCTTGCTCGAACTGCGGGCCGTGGCTTGCGTCAAACTGCTGGCCGTGGCTTGCTCTGGTAGCATTAGGTGTGTTTGGCCATTACCAGACATCGCCGTGGCCATTACCAGACATCTGGTGGCGGACAGGCAGTTGTTCTTGGTCGAACTGCTGGCCGTGGCTTGCGTCGTCAGGCACGACGGGAGCGTCCCGTGAGGAGGTTCGAGCCCCGCAGACATGTTGGCAGCGAGCAGGCCGGTGACGACGCGAGCCCCGCCTCCCGGAATCGGCCGCGCTGGCTATCTTCCATGCTCTGATTCGCAAAGAGGTGGCGCAAACCATGTGTTCGACGAATTGGCTCAAAGACGGTGAAGTTACCTGTATCCAAGCCAAATCAGAAACAAACTAGATGTTAGCCAGACTTAGATGGTATAGGTAACTAAATAAATCTATCTTAGCTTGTTAGAGGTAGTCTTATGTTAGCCTGGCTTATTTCTAGACACGTTAGAAGGAAGCCAGGTAACCAAATAGACCCATAGTGTTTGGCTAACCGTCAAACAAAACCGACCTAGGGTGGTTTTTAAAGGCTATGCACAGTGGAGCTGAAAACTGGTTTGACAAACCAGACCGAGCCAGGTTTCTTTGAGTTGGCTCAAAGTGTCTCAAATTTAATTCTTTTCATTTAAATTTGATTCCCAGACTCAAATGCAACCTCTCTGACTTCTTTTTGCTATCAACAGTAGTCTTATGTAAATATGTCACATTTAATTTTGCAAGTTCGATGGGAATGATATTGAAGTATCTTTCCACATTTTCTTCACCGTAATGCAGTGGCGAAGCTAGAGCAAATCCGAGGGGATGCGACTGCCATGCAGATACATAGATTTGAGTCATCACCATGGTGAAAACTTAACCATATCCACTGATATTCAAAATTTCTGTGGGTGCATCCGCATCCACAACACTACGTGTAGCTTTGCCACTGCCGTAATGTACTCCGTTTTTCTTCCATTGCAAGGGGTTTTCCTAAGAATTAGCAGGAATATGGACTACATGTGCAGGGTAGAGTTGCTTAATTAAGGCCTGTTTGGGAGGACTCTAGTTTAAAAAAACATATCTAGAGCTCCGGATCACTTAGATCCACTATGAAGCAGCTCTACCATAGATTTTGGCTCCCACCAATTGGTAGAGTTCCACCGCAGATCTAGACTAATATACAATTATAAATAAAAATTCAAGGGGCATAATGAAAAAATGAAAAAATAAAAAAAAAAAGATTGCAATGGAAAGTGGAGAGTAAAGTGATCGTTTCACTTATAGTTCTCTACATTTCTGCACAATACTCAAACTGTTATGCACCTGAGATTTTTTCCAAACAAATTAACAGCATTTTTAACTTATATAAGGTATTCCCGATACACCATCATTAGTTTGCTCGTAACCCTTTTATTGTAAAGAATTGACAGAAACCTGATCGGAACCAACTGAACTGACGCACGAGTACGTGCGAATCAGAACCTATAACAGCACTACAGCAACAGCAAGGGGCTCATCGATCTGCTTCAGTCCACTCATGATGCTGTACTACTGTCTACTGAGGCAGCAGCGATCATCACTTCATCAGTGCGCGAAATAGGTGACGAAGAGCGCAGCGAACATGAGCAGGTACGCGATCGCCTGATCTATCCCTTTTGCGTCAATCACCCGCGCTGCCGCCGGCTGCTTGTCCTGCGCCATGGACAGCTGCATGAGCCCGGAGAAGAAGAAGGCCGTGAACAGCAGCACGTACGCCTTCACGGATGCCATTTAGAGCTGCTGAAGCTGAAGAATTAAGAATGGAAATGTAAATGCGCTGCGAAACTGATATGCTTTTTGCTTGCTAGTTGCTAGCTAGGGAATTAGTTTGATGTTTATAGCAACGCCGAGGAATTGGAAAGTATAAATAGGGTAGGACGAGCTACTTGTAGTGAAGTGCCAGTGTGCTTTGTTTGAAGCGGATACCAAGGAAAACTTTGAAGAGAAGAGGAATAGGTCAATCTGTTTGTCTGGCTTGGGCGCGGCAGTATTGACCTGAAGGCAGCAGTCATGGGGGTGACGACCAAGTTCAATAGGGCTGGCTGTCATGGCATTTACCACGTTTTTTACCATTTAGTTTTTTTTTATCACATCAAAGCAATGGAAATATGCATAGTAAACTGGAACGAATTTGTTGGTAATAATTAATAAGATTTAAGAGTGAGTTGAGTTAAGCCATTGTACATTTTTGTTGATGCAAAGATCGATCAAACACCACAAAAGATATATCGCTCAGATCGCAAACATAATTAATGCAGTGTGATTCTGCCAAAACCGAACTAGCTGGTTTCGGGAATCAGCCTAGCCAGTTTTCTCAAGTTTTGCCATGAACGCCCAAGAATAGTAACTATCATGCTTTTACGGTGAGGAGCGTCTAGGTTTATGAGCAAACCAGCAAAGGGTTACTATCGCACTTACGTGACGAAGAACGACTAGTCAAGGCAAACTAGCAAAGATGTCATCAAAGCTCTGAGAGAGACCCCATCGGGGAAAGGATGTTGACATGTTATCCTAGGTCGGTCAACAAACCTAGAGTGTCATCCTTAGCCGTTAGATCAAGAGATGAGCAACAACTTAGAGGTTTGGAAGATGTTAGACCAAAAGAGAGGTAGAGAGTGGATTGATTTTTTATTCGATTATGTATTGGATACCCTAATCGGCCGTGACCTCCTTATATTTATAAGGACAGGGTGGTCTTATCATGCAAGGGGTCGACAACTCTTGCAAAACGCATTAAAATCCAACCCAATTCCGGGAGCATACGTAATTCCTTTGTCCATACTTTAAATTGGGTGTTCTATATATATTTTTCAATCATCTCGACGAGAGGAACACAGTAGAGTGATTCATTCTTCAATCTGAGGAAGTTTATAAAACCATCTTAGCTAGTTTAGGGAACCGGCTAGGCTGGTTTTTGCTGGGTAATTTTTCCAAATTTGTATTTTCCAAATCTGTGTTGACAACAAACCATCTTAGCTGGTTTAGGAAACCGGCTAAGCTTGTCTGTGCTGTAATTTCTAGGATCAACCTCTTTTATCCATATTTTGTTGTTAATATATGTCTTCCCTGTTTTTAGGTGCGTTTATGCGAACCTGAAAACATATTAGAGCAAATAGCAATGATGTGCAACTAATCATCTATTTGTCATCCAAGGGCCATGTATACATCATTCGTTTTTTTTTCTAAGGGCAATACATGTATCGACCATCGTTTGGACAACATTTTATCATTTTATTAAACACTTGAGAAATACATTTTCAACTACCTCCTATTAATTGCTCTTGGGAGACAGTCCCCTTGTAACGTCTCTAGTTCATAAGAATTAACAAACACCACTTTGATCACTTTATATAAAAACTCCCAACATGGATATCATTTGCTGGACTGTTGCTCATGCCATCTTCTAAGAGTGTCCTCAATCTAGTTTTTGATAAGTTTGGCAGAACCCAAGCACTTAAACAATAAGTCTACTTCGGTAGTTCTTCGATATAATTCATCATCGACCAAAACATATTTGATGAGATCGTTTACAATGGTTGCAAAAGTACCGTGGTACCTCCAGGTACTTTCATTTTTTTTCTATTTTCTAAGTAATTAATTGAGAAATATATTATAGGGGTATTTAGTAATTGAGGTTGTGCCCTTCTAAAACAAGCGTATCCATTTGGTGTCTGATCGAGGTTTTCAGAGTAGACTGGAGCAAGCGTACCAATCGTGCCTCTGTAGTAATTTACATGCATTAATACACAGCAAAATACCAGCGTAATCGTCCTGTATGTCCACGCGAAGGAAAGGGAAAAAGAAAACAAGAACAGACAAAAGAGTACAAGGGGAGAAGAGCAAGAACAAGTATTCTAGCTTGCAGTCGTCGTCGTCCATGAATCATGAATCGATGGAGCAGGGCAGCACGCAAGCCTACCAAATCGTTGTCTCCGCGCAACAATCCTGTGAACTCTAGGGTCTCTGTCCCGGCTCGATAGGCGGCGTCTCCTATGTCAGGGTGTTGCAGAGACTGCCGGCACGGACGCGAGCTCGGTCTGCGGTGCGTCGGAACCTATGAGCCCGCCGGGGTGCTGCGGCTGCTGCTCCGTGTACACGGCCCGGGCGGTGGCCTCTAGAGCACCTTGTCTCACGGCGCAGGCCGGCGAACTCGGCGAAGTCGCAGTAGGCCTCTGCGGGGGGACGGCGACGGCGGCTGCGGGGCACGTGGGTGCCGCACTGCGGCGCTGGGATGGGATTAAGCGCACACAGCATCGGTTTAGATTCATATAGAGATGACATGGAAGATCTCATTTTTGCCCTTTACTGAAATGACTGATTTACCCTTATTCAAAAATAAAATAAAAAATAAAAAATAGATATTGCTCAACATATTTTAGTACTGATCCCATCTAACTTAGTACTATCCTCACCTATTTGGTACCTTATGATACTTTCAGTTGAGTAACTTCTATTTTTCACGGTCCGATTTTGTTCGATGGATGGTCCATATATTTTTTCAATTATTATAAATTTTCTCAACATATTTAAATGCAACCTGCCGAATACTTTTAATTAGCCGATTTCAGAAACTAGCTTAGCCTATTTTCACAGTGGCTCCAATTTGGTTATTTTGCTTCGGTCTTCCTTAATGTGAAATTACGTCCTTTGATGACGTTAAAACCCGATGCTTGTTAACTCGATACGTTAGCCTTAATATTTTCATGCCTTCAAATATACTAAATTTAAAATTCATCAAAATATATAACGATGTCAAGGCATTTATCAAGATATAGCTTTTAGTGACTTCTCTAAATGTTGAAACCTATTCTCTTCTCTATCAATAGAAATAGAAATGGGCACCGTCTCGTGCCGGTTCGTTCAAAACAAATATTGAAACTTATTGGCGCTTGCTGCACCACCAGCGATGAATGACTAAAAGAAAGAACATGTTTCACGCCCAATGAAATATGAAATGTCTAACCTAGATAGAAAACATCATATTCGGCATGGTTATTGCTGTAAAAGCACTCCAATCGGCAATAAGGCTGTAAATAGCTCCAATGTAATAAATGAATTTAGCACTAACGGGTTGAACATACCTGCATGTTGATTTATCATATTATATCACATCTATGAGGTGAATTTGTTCAATATGTAATAAATTTTAGAGAAATTTTGCTACAGGACATTATATTATCAAAATACATAATATACTAATGGACACCACAACGAGTGACATTTGGGCCGTACCATTACAAATTTGGGGTTCTTTGTCATAACACACTGAAGCCAATATTTTATTTATTTCTCAGACTTGTGGAGAGAGAGGGTGATAGAAATAACTTTGTTGCCCTCATCTTCGACCTCTGGCTGTGCACCAATTTTTGACGTAAAAAACCGCCGACGCCTTGTCTTCTCCGACGAGGCCTTTCATGGCCAGCAATTTCATTCTTCCATGGCCACGGGGTCCTTGGTCAGGAGCTCCCAGTAGATGACGTAGTGGCCGGGGATGCTCTTGGTGTAAGCCTGGCTGGTGTACTCCACCACGGCGGCACGGCGCGCTGCAGCTCAGCCTCGTCCGTCTTGTCGGACTCGATGGACAGCAGCACGTTCTTGCAGCGCACGAACCAAAACTGCGGCGCGGAGTTGTGGAACCCCATGACCTGGAGCTCGTACCCGCGCCCGACCTCTACGCGGGCGAGGTACACCAGCTGGCTCACGTCACGGCCGTCGGACGCCGCTGCGTCCATGGGCAGGAACTCGAAGTAGCACATATGTTGGGCATCAGGGTGTAGGACACCTCCGAGGGGTCGCACATGGGGCTGAGGTTCAGCCCGAAGTAGCACTCCGATGACGCATACATGGTGCACGCTATCGAGAGCTCGCCGCTGTAGTACTTGAGGGTCGGGGGATGTACTGCGCCATCGCGCCGGTGACGATGACGTCAAGCTACTTGGTGTTGGGCCAGATGCGGGTGATGGTTCCAGCCCAGCGCGGGGTGAGCGAGCCGGCCTGGATGTCATCCGCGAGCTGCTCCCAGTTGAGGCCTGGGATCTCACGCCGCCGCACACACAAGGCTGGAGAGGCCCGCACCGCCGCTCGTGCGTTGCTGGAGATGGTCGCGCCGCCGCTCACGCTATTGGACGGAGAAGGACAGCGATATTAATTGGCGCAGTGTGTGACGGCAAATATCAATGAGAGCAAGAGGTTGAAGACAAGGGTACTTTAGACATTTCCCCCACCCTCTCTCTCCACGAGTCTGAGAAATGAATAAAATATTGAGTGCGGTGTATTACGATAAAGAACCCCAAATTTGTAATTGTACTATGCAAATGTCGTTCGTCGCGGTGTCCATCAGCATATTATTATGTATTTTGACAATGTCCTGCAGCAAAATTTCCCATCACAAATATATACACCTAAAATGTGCTTACATGCCAATTTGTAGACTTTCATGATCACTTATAGGTATTATTAGAGTAAAGTGGTCGTTTCAATTACATTTCTCTACACTACTGCACAATACTCAAAACTGTCATGTACACTGCTGAGATTTCTTGCAAACAAATTAACAACCTTTTTAACTTATAAGGAATTCTCGATACATCATCATTAATTTGCTCTTTTTTAACAAATTGAGAGCAAACTGATGGGAACGAACTGAACTGAGATGCACAAGTGCGAATCAGAACCTATAACAGCACTACAGCTACACCAAGGGGCTCATCTGCTTCAGGCCACTCATGATG